GCACGGCTCCAACGCTTGCCACTTCCAAGATAAAACCTTCTAAATCCAGATCTAGAAGCCATCATCGCACTCCCGATAAAGTTGCTTATCTAGCGCGATTGCTAATCACCAACCCTCCATCATGCATTGGTCCACTCTCGCTCTTAACTCCCTCTTTTGGAACTCGAGATCTCGCTAACTCTTGACCGAGCAGATGCGGGGTTATCAAGAGCCGAGTGAGATTCTTTAGGAGAGCATTTGTGAGCGAGGAATCTGTTGGCCTAAGAGATGGCGTCCTGCAGGTTCTAGTCTCCAAGAGCCGAGCTTCAAGTACCCTTGTTTCTTCCCCGCATCTTAAGCAGCTCATGGCAAGCTTTCTTCGAAGCTATATTGGGAGCTTTACTCGTCTGTGCACAGTCAGAAGCAAGTCTCTTTCATCATAGCATCTTCACTTTTCGGCAAGACTACACCATCAATCGTTCAACATGGCAAAGAGCAGGGTTTTGGTCGTCGGCACTGGTGGCATTGGCACCATGTCTGCCTATGCTCTTGAGAATGGTGGCTTGGCTGAAGTTACTGCCGTTATGCGATCCAACTACGATGCTGCTGTCAAGGATGGCATTGATATCGATTCGGTGCAGTACGGTCAGATCAAGGCCTGGAGGCCAACAGCTAGTACGTGAACATTTATGCGACACGAGAGTTTCTCCCTAACTTATCCAAGTCACCAAGACTGTTCCCGACGTCTCCAAGGGTGACGTCGCACCCTTCGACTTCATCCTCGTCACAACAAAGAACATCCCCGACGTCCCTCCCACGGTGGCCGACATTATTGCCCCAGCTGTAACCCCCGGCAAGACAGCCATCGTCCTCTCCCAAAACGGCATCAACATCGAGAAGCCCCTCATCCCTCGATTCCCCACCAACCCTCTCATCAGCAGCGTCGCCTACACAGGCGCGACCGAGACGGCGCTCGCAAAGATCTACAACGATGACCCGGATACACAAAAGATTGGCGCTTTTGTTAACCCAAAGGTTCCTACTGCTGTGGCGGCTGAGGCTGCGCAGTGTTACGTTAGGATCTATAACCCGGAGGGAAAGCTCAATGTCATTTATGAGCCTGATGTTGGCAAGGCGCGATGGAGGAAGATTGCCTATAACGGGTCTATGAACCCGATTGCCTCTATCCTTCGGATGGATACTCCTCGTATGCGCATGAGCAGACACATCATTGACGACCTCATCCTACCCATCATCCTGGAGATTCGCGCCGTTGCTGGAGCAAGCGGCATCACTCTCCAACCTGATCTCATCGACGCAATCATGCACCAGGACCCAAACGACACAGCGTTCAAGCCTAGCATGTGCCAAGACTACGAGAAAGGAAATCTAATGGAGATTGAGAACCTTATCGGCGAGCCTCTACGCGAGGGCGAGAAGCTGGGTGTTCCGATGCCTACGCTTCGCGTCGTGTACGGTATTATGAAGGGGCTGCAGCTCAAGGTTAAGGAGGAGAAGGGATTGTGGACGGCCAAGTTTGAGCCTGGTAATCCTTATGAGTAGATAGAATAGTTGTCCCTTGTCAAAGAAAAGATATTTGTTGCCTTCACTTTCTGAATCTTTGCGGTGAGAATTGCTGCAATTATTGTAACGAACTTTTCCTATGTTAATCTAGGGACTTATTGTGAAATTTGGTTGTATGTTTTTGCGACATCAAGAGCTGCTCAACTATGATCGGCCTCTGACGATAAGCTCATCATGAACTGAATTTTCTCTGTTGGATCATTGAGTGAACTTGATTCTTAATTAATTCTCTGTAGTACTGCTCGCCACAAGTTCACTATGCCGGTGAAGAGCGGGAACTGATAATGATGTATAACACATTGGGTCACGATGCACTCTAAGGTTGATCGAAGATGATGAAATAAATGCCATCTCTACTCTTTTGTTCACAATCTGCGCTATAAACTCCTACTCAAACATCTACATAATAAATCTTACAGCTTGGAAAGTCTTCCATCGGGCTGCAAGAGAGAAATATAGTCCTTTGTGATCTCGTTGACGTTTTTGCAGCTGGTACAACACTATTAGCAAGAAAGACTATGCAAGGACCTGGAAGACTTACCCAGCAAGTGCCATGCATGTCTTGAACTCGTCGTAGAGAAGGTTGAGAGCGAGTTCGACTCCCTTTTCTCCGTTGTACTACGATTGTTAGGACTGATGCTGGATGGTAAACTGGGAACTTACAGCCAGGCCCCAAATGGCTGGTCTTCCGGCAAGGCAAAAATCAGCGCCCAATGCCAGGGCCTTGAAGATATCAGTACCGCGACGGATACCTCCATCAACAGCGATGGGGATATGGCCCTTGGCGATCGGAACAACCTCTCGAAGAACATCAAGAGATGCAGGCACACTATCTAGTTGGCGACCGCCGTGGTTGGAGACGACAATACCGTCGAGACCATGCTTGATGGCTAGCTCGGCGTCATCAGCGGTGTAAACTGGTGAGAGACTAGGTTATTCGCTGCCAACATGTCTGGGTAGGATCATACTTACTACCCTTGCCCCAGATCTCCATTTTGGTGTGCTTGCGGAAAAAGGGCATCAACTGAGGCCACTCGAGACCGCAGTCTAACCGGTTAGCCAGGTTCAATTGAACTCGTCCACGACTCACCATATGCCATCGACTCGTCGCCGTCCTCGAGATTGGTGACATCGACACCAGGGAAGAGGTTGGGATACTCCATGCCCTGGGGAACGCTAAATTTGTTGCGGAACTCGTTCAATCGTCGGCCGAGGTAGGGAGCATCGAGAGTAACCAGCAGGGCCTTGAATCCAGCCTCTGAATTTGTTAACACGGGTTTACTATAGGTAGGTAATGAAACCTTGAAATACTCACTCTCAGCTCGCTTAATCATCTGGATCATTGCGTCCTTATTTTTAAGCAGACTCATCTGCATCACATATGGATTCCCCTTTCCATGGGAAATCACCTTCTCAAGCTCAATGGTAGAGTAGTTGCTCAGACCCATAGGTACACCGACTGTTGCTGTCGCTTTGGCGGTTCCCTCCTCGCCGTCGGGATGCGCTAGCTGCTGCATTGCCGTGGGTGAGAAGCCAAAGGGAAACTTGACTTTTGTGCCAAAGATTGTGGTGCTGGTGTCAATGACGGAGATATCCCGGAGGACGCGGGGACGGATTCTGTAGCGATCATATGCGGATTCGTTCTCGTGGAGTCTATGAAGGTGAGAAGCTGTACTTGAGTTCAAGGGTGAGAACCTACGTGATGAGATCCATGGCACCCTCATTATAGTATTCTGCAACCTGTCAGCACCCAATTGATTGTCACTCGTGGCAGTCGTACCTCTCGTTGACTTGACCAGCTTCTCTGAACCAAGCCGTTGCAGGTCCCTGAGGGAATGGACCTGCTCATCGTAACTTCTACCGCGGTTCGCCATTGTTGATACTGAATGAGGTCTTGGGTTGAACAAAGTTTTCTGACAAACAAGAGCTAAGAAGAAGATCTGAGACTAGCCAGCACGAGAGAAATTATAAAAGACTACAGAGGAAACCGGTGTCGGTGAACCCAAAGAAAAAGCGAGACAGCTTCCCCAATGACAGCTTTTCAATCCAGCCGTTTCTACTCTCTCCCCCAAAGAGGTGTCGCTTGCATATCGGCCTGCGAAGCTATCAAGCTCGGTCTAGCTCTTATCATTCCTTTCGCTGTAACCTGCCTTTGTCTTCATGTGGAGTTTTCCATGTCAGGCATAGCGTTATCGGCTACTGTTGTTGAAGGTCACGGCGAGGGTCCCTACGAGATAAGCAACGGTTGGCCCCCGCATTCTCTTCCCCGCAATGTCGGCTTGAACTGCCGTGGGGACAACCTCGTGACGGGAAGATCTTGAGTTCATCCGATGCATTGGCAAAGACCGGGAGAGGAGCCGATATTTCCTACAGCGGGGGAGGGTTAGGGGGAAATTCGCTTTTGCAAAGGTTGACAAGTGACGGATCGCCATCGGCTTGATCCTTGAAGAGGTGACGTGACGTGTACAGCCAACAAAGGAGTTCCAAGCAGCGGGCATCGTGACATTTAATATTCAGACGCTGGGTGGTTCAAGCCCAGGACATATTCATATACTACAAGCCTGAAATTTGTCCTTCAAGTTTTACTCTGCGTCTCTTTCATGCGGGTAACCTGGTCTACTATTTCAGCCTCTTCTCTTCTACCTACCCTGATCTTGTTGCTGGGACTGTCCCTAACCCGTCACAGTAGGAAATTGCTGGCATGCGTTGAGTCATAAGATTAGGCATCTCAAAGCCTGTCTTTGATTGCGAGTAGTTGTTGTTACGTTACCCTGCGGCCGCGCCTGTCAAGTGCATGCTGGGGCGTTGGTTGTCAAAGCGGAAGTGGCCCGTTCAGTCAATGAACCAGCCCTTTGAGTAGCACGTAAGCGATGACCTGTCTTTTAGACTACCGCCAGAAGTTGAAAGATTCTGAGAGATATCTTTGAAGGTTCATGGGAGATGCCTTTGTCCCAAGAACGCCCCCAGCTACCTAGGCATGCATACTATCCTTTTACTAATCTGCAAGGTAGAATTGATTAGAGCCAAAAAGAGAATTTGGATGCCAGAGGAAAAAAGCAAGCTTTCAAAGTAAAAGGATGTCAACTGAAGCCCCATTTAGTAGTTTGTGCGTAAGGGGAGATGTGTCATCGGTCGCGAATGACATATTCTAGTGGCCCGCGGCACCTGCTGAAAGATATCTTTCAACTCTGCCGTGGTGGCTAACGATGATTCCTTTGTCAATGCCACATGAATGGCCTTTGGAGCATACGCTTCTCTCGCCTGCCACTATGAAGGTTCTCACATGCATCCCGTGACTGGTCCTCAACGTGACGTGGTCGGCATACACGTGTAGGCATTCATTTTTGGCAACTTGCTAACCTATCAACTATATAATGTCTAACCCATTCGTCAAGCTGGCCATTAAAGTATAGAAACAGCACAGATAAACGAGCACAATGTTTAACTGTGACTGCTGCCCCCGGCGATTCAACTCTCAATATGCAGTAAATCAGCACATGGACGCCCTAGGTCACCGGGTCCCACGATTTAACTGCGAAACCTGTGACAGGGCATTCTTCGCACAACACTCTGCGAACCAGCATATGAACGATACAGGCCACTGGAGACCACAAGTCAAGGGTAACAGTGGCGCATCTTTCTCTTCTGATCAGGCCTGGCATAAACAGGGCTGGGTTGGAGAGAACATTTCTGGGCAAAGCACCTCATCTGGGGGTCTCTGGGGGAATGGACAACAGAGCACCCATGGAGGGGGCCTGTACTCCTCCTTTAGGGCCTCCTCTGACCAGGGATCCCCCTCTAGCCTGTTTGGTCAGGGCTCATCCTCTGGAAGCCTCTTTGGACAACAGTCCTCTGGGGGCCTCTTTGGGCAGAGCACCCCCAGGCAGGGCCTATTCGGTCAGGGCCCATCATCTCCCCAGACACTCTTTGGTGGGCAGAACCCCTCTACACAGGGCTTTTCATCCGGACAGGGCGTCTCTGGAGGGCAAAATCCCATTGCCAACCAGAGCCTCTTTGGGCAGAGCTCATCTTTTGGACTGCGTTTCTCATGTGAGACTTGTAATATGGAGTTCTACTCTCAGAATGACGCAGGCCTACACCGTGAAGGGTTTGGACACAAGAAACCCTCAATAATCGACGACATTGAGGTAGTGACGAACAGCTACGCATACAAGGATGAGATCGTTAAACTATTTGACAATGGATGGCGCCACCCGACTAGAACCGCGAGCATCCAATGCATCTATGTACACACACAGCGCGCTCAAGAGCTGGTTGCCTACTTGAACAGTGGTGAAGCTAGGGTTCTGTTCCATGGGACGCAGAGAGCTTGTCATGTTGGTGATCTCAATTACGCTTTGAGAGTGTGCAACGATATTGAATGCCATCTCTGCAGTATCCTAAGAGATGGGTTCAAGCTAGACCGAGCCAGTAAGTATAACGGAACCTAGAGGATAAGTGTTGAGGTACTAACAAGGTCCAGAATCATGTGGCATGTTTGGTCCTGGAGTATACACAACTGATGTGTCTTCTAAGGCTGACAAATGGGTCATGAACCACCATATGCACTCGAAGCTGCATGTGATGCTTCTATGTGCGGTCTGTGTTGGCAAGTCCGAGAAACTATACAGTGCAGACTATGGGAGAAAAGGCCCAAGCGCTGGATATCAGTCTGTTGAAGGGGCTGTGGTTGCAGAAGGGGGAGTCCTTAACGAACCCGAGATTGTTCTGTATTCTGAGAACCTAGTTGTCCCTTTTGGGATGATTGTGTACACTAGAGAGGGGTGGGAACCCTTTTAAAGGTCAAGGATTGAGCTGTCAAGGCGTGGTAGGTGGATGATAGTTACGGATCGTTTTGGCACTTAGACAGAGCACCAGAGGACTTTGGTATGAAAGCGAACGAGATGATGATTGGGAATGATATGATGATGATGTGACTTTTCGTGTTTTTCTTGCAGCATTGCGGTATTGAGAGAAGCTATATAAAACATAATGCATGCGGAGATGTTTTCCTCCAATACAAGACTAAGAAATTCCTTGTTTATTCCCCCTTGCATAGTTCCCCTCCAGACTTCCAAATCTCGTACTCGAAATCCGGCTGGAACTCGGTGTATAGCGTCTCCTGCAAATAAATTAGTATTTGTGTTGTCTTCATCTAATGAGGTAATGCTTACGGGGTCGGCGTTCACGCTGGCTGTGAATTCGGCTTCCTTGTCACCGATGATGTTCTTTGGTAGTCCTGCACCTTCGACCATGAGCTGAACCTCACAAGTTCGCTCCAGGCAGGTGAAGAGGTAGGCAGCTTCGTCAACTGTGCCGCCTGTTGTGAGAAGGCCGTGGTTCTGGAGGAAAATCACGCGGCCCTTGTCACCCAGTGCCTTGACGATATTCTGTCCCTCTTCTGCGCCGAGGACAACTCCACCAAAGGCCTGATACACTGCTTGTGTGTTGTAGAAGAGGCACGAATCTTGGTTGATGATGTCTATGGGCCTGCCAAAGGTTGACCAAGCTTTTCCGGCGGGAGAGTGCATGTGGCATGCGGCGTGAACGTCGGGACGAGCGCGGTGGATGGCGCTGTGGATGACGAAGCCGGCTGCGTTGATGGCGACCTTGTTTCCACCAATGACTTGACCGTCTTCGTTGATCTGGACCATATCACTGGCCTTGAGCATACCGAAGTGCTTGCCCATGCTAGAGAATGTTAGTACAGATCTATCCAAGGGTAATATTGAACTTACGGGTTGATCCAAAAGGTGTCTGGGTCAACAGGGTCACGGACGCTAATGTGACCACTCGTACCCTCGGTAAAACCCTTCCTGGCAAAGACCCTAAAGGCACCGGCCATGTGCTCAAGCTGCCATTGCCTCTTCTTGTAGGGATCTGTGATCTTTGGGATTCCAGGGAACTCGTAACCTCCAGTTGCTAGATCAGCGACGCTGCTGGGCGGAGCATTCTTGGGAGCGGCATCTTTGGAAGGGGCAGAATCAGTCTTCAAAACGGGCTGAGCCACGGTCTGAACGGTAGTAGTTGTAGACATGGTGACGGAAAGAGACCTTGGGTATGATGAGTGTGAGATTGGACTTGTGTGGTTGAAAAGCTGCGAGGCTTATCAGATGGCAGATGCACGTTATCAATGCCAGAGGTTTGCCACGATGGATAACAATCTTCAAAGATTATCACTCAAATGACGCCTCCTGCGGCATCTACGATAATCGGAAGCCATTGCGGCTCTCTCTGACGTAAAGTTGACATTGGCCAATTACCGACCAGCCATTCCTTGCAAAATGTGAAGTTGTCAGCGAGGGGGCGCTTTTTCGCTGTGGCTTTCCTCTTCCAGATCAGGCATGTGGGGACGGGCTTGTGATCCTTGCTCACAAGATATGACTAGCCCCTTGAAGGAATCGTTCGTATCACACATCTGCATCAGCAACAAACCACAAGCTGCATGACTCGGCACAGGGTTGAATTTCCTCAAGGTAAAACCAGTCAAGTTCCACTCGAGTTCCCCCTTCCCCACGCTCTCAACTTCCCTACTCTGTTTCCTGACCCATGTCGTCCTCTACTCGATCCAGCTACCGATCGCGGAAGCGTACCAAGACGTTTACCGGTTGTTGGACCTGTCGCGCCCGCAAAATCAAGTGCGATGAGGGAAGACCGCATTGTCGTCAATGCCGCGAGAAGCGCGTCACGTGTGAAGGTTACGATGCCCGTCTTCAGTGGCTGACGCCGGATACTTGCGGGAAGCCCAGTCTTCGCTCTGAGATTCCGTGCGAGTCTTCCCTGACGCAATCTCTTAGGCGTCACATACCTGCTGGTAAGTCTGCACCTGGACCTGGTAGTGCATGAACTGATGGTGCGTGTAGAGCCCCCAAAGTCGGTATTGGCCTGGAGCCAGGTGGAGGGTATTCTCCGCTTTATCGACTCACTCGAGGCAGATCTGGGGTCTAATGGTGGGGAAAATGTGTGCGCATCTATCCAAAACTTTGGTGTTTTCAGCGTGAAGCAATCACAGTCTCCTGAGCCCGCCCCTGAGGCTCATGGCCTGACTGACCTGGAGCCGGAGCCAGTCGCTCACCAGAGTGATGATGGTGATCTGGCCATGGGTCAAGAGGCCATTCCGAACTTTTTCTTTGACAGCTTTGCTTCCCCTTCTTATTCGGAGACAGCTGCCGCATGGGATTTGTGTAACCTCTATGATCATCAGTCTTCCTTGGCTCTGGATACTCAACCCCAAGAAGCTCCTCCAGTCCAGCACAAGTCCACTCTTACTATCTCAAATCACTCTCATGAACCTCCTGCAGCGGCACCTGGCGACCTTCAACTCCGACATGAGCTACAGACGACAAAGACCGACAAACTCTACAAGGCCTCGACGCCGGATGAGACATGGCGCCTCGACTATAACGAGCTTCTTCATTGCCTTGAACCCTACGTGGTACCTGGCCAAGAGCGATTCTTGATGGACCATTACCGCAATCGAGTCGTCAATCTCTTTTGCGTTATCGATAATGGCAAAAGCCCTTGGAAGACGATCCACTTACCCCGAGTCCTGCAATGCGTCGGTGAACTGAGCTTTGGCGGTTCGACGACGAGGATCCGGAATGCCCTACGAAATGCTCTTCTGTCCATCAGCGCGTTTTACTTGTCCAACGATCACAAGACTTCAGAGCGTGGGGATGAAGCCAAGAGATGGGGCAACGTTGCTTCACGCTATCGATGTGATGCTATTGGACTTCTCAAGCAGGCTGTCGAGACAGATCTGTATGGCGAAGAGCGACCGAGGTACAAAGAGTTCCTTGCGACCATGTTGTCAATGATTACCATCAACGTGAGTCAACTAATATTCTCCCACCCTCTCTCGTCGCTGACACCTCTCTTCACAGGTCATGTCTGGAGACACAGACACTTGCAGCGTGCATCTCGACGGCGCCGAGCAACTCATTAACCACATGAGCATACGCAAGTTCAAATTCTCACGAAAAGCCCGAGCCTTGCATCGAATTTATCTGTACTTGCGTGTTCTCTACGAGAGCACAGCCCCGAGAACAAGAACCGGAACGGCCTCTCGCTTCTCGCCGTCCCTCAGCTCGCACAGGGCAATGGGCCCGCATCCCACAAGCTTACCACAGCGCCTATTCCTCGAGTCGGAGGATTCGCCGTCTTCCATGATGCCGATGGAAGTGAGCTCTACTATTACTCAGGAACCGATGACTGAGATGGCGGCATACGAGTGCATCTATGGCATACCGCAAAGCTTGCTCCTCCTCCTCAAGGACGCAATCGAGATCATCGACATGGTGGACATGGAGCGTAAAAAGACGGACAGTACGACCATATCCGAGCCGCTGGGGAGTTTATGCGATAAACTCGAAAACGAGATACTCGACTGGCCCTTGGAGGAGCGACTTGCCTGGTGTCAAGAGGCTAACAAGGGGATAAGCGCCGAAATCATCCATTACCAGACTAGGGCATTCCACAATGCCTTGATCATATACTTTTCACAGAATGTTCGACTCCTCGGATACCGTTACCTCCGACAATACGTCCACACGATCCTAGACAGCATCGAAGCTATTGAGAAGATCAAGGCCGAGACCAAGATCCTTGCGGCGCCACTCTTCTGGCCAGCATTTATCGGGGCTACTGAGGCTTTTGAGCCGTCACTCCAAGAGCGGTTCAAGAAATGGTATAGCAACGTTTCAGTTTACGGGATTGAGGCTGTGAGGACTGGGATTCAGGTTGTGCATGAGGTTTGGAGACGAGGGCCTGCGACGAATAAAAGGGTAAAGAGTTCGTGGAGGAGTATTGTCGAGAGCAATGGGGACAGCCTGATGCTGACTTGAATACTGACTAGCATCCAACTTGGAGATAACTCTTGGGTACACTATTAGGATAATGACTTTATGACCCTGACAGCGTCGTTTTCTACGGGCTGGACCTACGCGAGGGCGTGTACGACGAGGTGCTGCGGAGGGATCTGACGAGGCGGCGGCTGCAGAGGTTCATCGGGGTTATTTACCGCCCGGAAACGCAGAGATAGTCGCACTATTCTAAAGCGAAGCTGCCAGAGCAGTATGATATATATGTCTGGTTCGACGAGACGCGGTACGTCGGTGCCATGGAGGTTTAACAGCCGCACGAAGACGTCGAGTGTGACGAGACCTGGCCTTTCGGGCAGCGAGTACGCTGATTCTGTCTATGCTCTACACGAAAGTTGAATATCCTGTTCCTGTTTGACCTTCCATAAGCCGTTCTTTTCGCTGCTCCGAATCCTCGGGCCTGTTTATGTGTGTGTTTGTGACGAGGATAACGAGCGCGACTAAGACCACACAACTAGTGATCCAACACACCCGCACCCATCCTTTCTGGAGAAGAATACCCCCAACCATCCAGAAAAGAATTCCCATGATCGAATAATGCATGATAAATACTAGATAATAGTTGATTTCCTTATCTAACTGCTCCCTCATCCGTATCTCTTTCTCTCTCTCCTCCCTGGTCTGCCTTTCTCTGTTTAGCTGGGCCAGTCGCTCGTACTTGTCCTTCTTAGTCTTTGACGGGAGCTCTAGCAGCACCTGACTGCAAGATGCCTTGAGTTTCCTCTGCGTCTCGTCCATGAACAGACTGACCACGTGCGCCTCCTTTCCGTGGAGGAGTCTCGTGGTCAATTCCACCGCGAGCGCCGAGGACTCACCAGGAATGGTTACCGCCACGCCGAAACCGCCGAATGCGCTGGCCAGCTGATCCGCCTGTACCAGGGTTGAGTCTCGTGGCAGGATGCCGAGATGGCAGGTGGCGGTCCGGCCGCAAGGACCGTTGATGTCGAGTTTCAGGACGTAGTCACACTCCACACGGCCGGGCTCGGTGCTGTCCTTCAACCTGACTAACCTCTCGGTTGGTGATCCTGCCCTGCTTCGACTCTTGATCCGGATCTGCGTGTCGCGAGGCTCTTCCCATGTATCGTCGGGGAAGACCTCCGCGACCCGCAGTCCCAGCGGAAGAGGCTTGATCGCGTAGTGAATATCAGCGGACTGTACGTACGGGTTCTGGGACAGTAGTTGGGAGTTGAAGCTGTCTGGCCACTGGTCTTCCGGGTAGGTCGTGGTCTCCGGAGAGGTCCTGTACAACCGGCCGGAGCGATTCTCCACCGGCACGGCGATGACGTTCCACTGGTCGTGACGCCAGTGACATCTGAGCAGCAGGAGGCTCCGAAATCCCATCGTCGTGACGGGCAGTCGGGCTTGGATGCCCATGTTCTGCATGATGATCGGCGTGGTCGTTGCGGTCACGACTTGGTCCCAGGTCTCTACGTCGCCGCACCCCACGAAAGAGGCTGGCGAACGCGCGAGCACGCCGCTCAGGACGCCCGTTGCTTCCGGGGCCGCGACGGCGAGGGTCTCGGGGGCGTTTGGTGAGCCCCAGGCAAGGAATGAGTGGTCGCTGGATGTTTCGAGGAGCTCGCGCTGCAGGCGGATGAAGGCCATCCCACCTCCCTCTCCGTATATCGGGCTCATGTGAGTGTTGAATATACCGAGGAGGCAGTAGGCCATGTCTTCGGGCCTGGTGGTCACGCGCTTCGCGGCCCAGGACATTCTCTCGGCAATGGACGCCCTCGAGAGGTCTGTGCCGTGGAGATACGCCTCCGTGATACCCGTCTTCTTGCTCAGTACTTTGGACAGTTGGGAGCGGCTGCCGAACTTGGTCCAACTTTTGGCGTAGAACTCTACCCTCTTCGGGGCGATGAGCTCCTGCAGCGTCCACCCGCGATCGAACCACTCGCTCGAGAGGTAGTCCTGCTCACCCGTCGCGTCGTGCAGGTAAGCGTAGCAGACCTCGGCCATACTATACCAGCGGAACATGGAGTTGATCGCCTCTGAAAGCTCGGCGCTGCTGCTCTTGTCGATGCAGCAAGTGTCGATCCACACATACTTCAGGTTCTGGCTGAGAGCGGTATCACAGCAGCCACGGAGCTTGGCGTATCCCAGCCTCTCGTGGGCGGTGCCATTCTCGACATCGCTAAACAACACCTCATCGTCGGTCCAGCGGTGGGAGAGGATTGCGTAGGGCTCGGAACCTGGGTTCACAGTTTCGAGGCGGAGGGTGGTGGCATTCAGAAGGCGCATTGAGGAGGGGATTGTCAGGCTGGCAGTTGAGAACGTCAAGCTGGGACCGATTGAGAGAGAAGAGTGTGGAAATTTAGAAGAGATTCTCGGATCAAATTTGGCAGAAAGAAGATCTTGAAGTTTCAAGGGCTATAAGTATGTAGGAAACAGTTGCGCTCGTTTGATGGCGGACAGGCAGAGGCGTGAGTACTGCAGTGCACTGCCTCAAGCCTGCTGGAGACGCGCATCTTGTCTGCGAATCATTGCTTGTCAGCGGTTCGAGTGGTGTTCTTGGCACGATTTTCGTTGGGCTGTATCGCTGCCGGGGCCCCCTGAGACCTCCCGCAGGGCTGACTCCTCGAGTGTTAGACAATTTCGGCTGTCAGCTCGAAGTCAGCTCGAGAGAGACCGCTGCGTCCCTGACAGAGAGTATGCTGATGGTCACTTTGCGACTGGACCAGCTCTCTCCTGATGGCCCTATGATCAATTTACGGCTATCAGCTTCTAGCCATACAGTGACAGAAAGCAGTTTCTTGCCATGCAGTTTCCTGCCGCCCGAAACGACCTGGGCTCTTGGCGTGCGGCTGTACAACGTGTGCTATTGGACAAACGTGACGCCGTTTGACGAAGAACTTATTTTGGGCTTGAAGGGCCAGCGTACTAACTTGTGCAGTTTCTGTTTTTTTTTTCATCGTGAGTACGCCAGTGAAAGGCTTATTCGCTCTCCCTTTGCCCATGCAATGCATCATGCCCTATCTGAACCCCTGTCATACTGTTAATCCCGGGTAATGCGACCGTGCACGACTGAATCTACTATGTAGCTCCAGGTTGCTGGTATCTGATCGAGGCTTTGGAAGCGGCGATCTATGGTAGACTGTCAAGGCAGCTAGACCAGAGTATTAAAAGAGAACGCGCCCTCTAAAGGCCACAATGCTACCAGGTACCTTAACCTCAACATAGACCATATGTCGTTTGAGATTCATCTCATAATACGTGTGTAACACATGCCACTGTCCAGCTCTCTGCAGCCTGCCTGTTACCAAATGCTATGTGCATGCTTCGCCTCGCTGGCGCCTATGATAACCAATCGTTGTGTTACGATTAAGAGAAGGCTGCCAGTAATGCGCCTTGTCTACTGTTCAATTATAACCAACCGTGCAGCTCGGCGGCTGCGCAAGTTAAGGCCTTAGCCCGATCTGTCGCCGATGGGGTTAAAAAGAGCCCAACTCCCCATGGTTTCTCGGTCTCCCATTCTCTGACCACTCGATATTTATCAATGCCAAACAGTTTATTTTCCAATTTGCACCCCAGACCTTCCCCCTAATTCCTAAGAAGCCCCTGTTCACTCATAACCCCCGAGACCCCTGGCTGATCATGTTTCAGTCGCTCAGGGCTTCTCGTCGCCTTTCAGACCCAAGTAATGGGTCGCAAGGCATCCCTATTAATGATTCAGCCCTTCAACTACAGGGTTCGCGAGACCAAGATTTTACGCATCAGGATCTGTCCAACACAACATCTTTGGCTGGTTGGAATGATACAGCCGACGACACTCTCATCTTGACGACCCAGGGACGCAGTTTCACTGGTTATGATGGGTCATCTTCCGCCACTACGTCTATCAACTCACTTCCCGAGGAAAAATGGATGCTGCGTCCAAAATTCGGGCCTGCTGCCGTGGCTATGCTACTCTTAGCACTCTTGTCAACCACTCTCAGCGGCCTATGGCTTGCCGTTGCCATCATTCAGCCGCGATGGGGATTCATGATCTCAACCACACACGGACTATCCCCTTCCAACGCCGCGACGTTGACTGCTTTGCTCGGCAAGACGATTGAGATAGCTTCCATCACGGTCTTCATCTCATGCATCGGGCAAGTCCTGAGTCGTCGTGCCGTGGCCGAAGAGTCGGCAGGCATCACGCTCGCCGACATCACAATCAGAAATTGGGTCATCCAGCCGGGGTTTATCTTTACACACCACCAGACACTCCTAGTGGCTGGTCGCACTCTTCTTGGGGCCTTGGCCTTACTGGCCCTAGTCGCCACTATCCTGTATACAACTGCTTCAGAGGCCCTTGTGTCTCCAAAGCTGAAATACGGAAAGTGGGAGACTCGGGAGTTGACAGCCGCAGTGCATTCTTACTACGGAAACTTTGCGGAAGCGGGCGCGCGATGTATGCAGGAGCCAGATCTCATCCAGAACACAACCAAGAAAGAAGAATCATTTCCGATAGGGCTAGGTTCGATTTGTCTCGGCCATGAGCTTAAATACAAGTCGACTCGTGATTTCCTCGCATTCACTCGGCATTATGGCGCATTTGGTTCAGCAGAGGGTACCAAACTACTTGGCAATGGGACGAGACCAGTAGGATATACACTTCTTCACGACAACGTAACGCTGGAGGCGACACGGGTGGATACAGAATACAGCGACGTTGCGGCGTCGTACGAGCGCTGGGGAAGGATCATTGACAACGTCACTGTGTCTATTCCGCATCCAAGTGTCTGGAGTGCCTCGCGTTTCCCCAGGAATAAAATCCTCCAACCTGAGGATTTATCCAACGCCGGCGGCTTTTCCATCAGGGCTGCAGTGGTCTCGCCCACGCTCAACACTCTGTGTGTAAACATAGATAAGGAGGAGCTTGCCCCTCTTGTCTATACAGAGTTTCCTTACAGCGAAAAGGACTTCAGTGAAGAGGAATACAGTGAGTCCTCTTTTGAGATTTGGGCTGAAGAAGAAATGTCGAAATGGGACAACTCTACCATTGTAGATGATGTATTCAGATGGGGCTCCAAGTATGGGCGGCGGCGACCCGTCTTCGAATTTGTGCGTGCAACTCGGACCCAGGTAGAGGAGATACTGACTCATACAGCTCCCGAATGAATTTCACATCGTATACCATCGCACTAGCCGTCTCAATGACACAATCTACGACGCTGGATATCTCCTTGCTCATCTTAACGAACCTGGCGCCGAGTACACTCTCTGCCAAATGCGGTCTTGGCTTTCGACTGACTGCTCGACGTGGCTTGAAGTTTCTGGCGTTGGTCAGCCGATAATGCGTGCTCATTGTGAAGACGGCGGCGATGAATACAGACACGATCCCTCTGCCTACAAATCTTCCGATAACATCGTGTTACCCGAGTTGTGGCCTGTAAGTCGCCCTCACCTCTATTTCAGGCCAGTTGAGATGGACATCTGCCTGGGTATTGCGCAAATGTGGTCACTAATCCAATATCATGTAGTGGATACTTGGAATGTGGGAAAGTAGTATCGCGTTAGAACACACGTCCACGAACGGGATACTTGGTTTCCAATTTATCATGACGGCCGGGATATTGACAGAGCCGGACATCTGGCCCTATACTGCCACCATGTCGGAGATTTTGTCTGTTTTGCTACTTTCGACACTCACCTTGGCATCTGTGGACACACAGCTTCGACATACCTGGGACCACGGCCTAGGCAAAGACTCTTACATCGTGGATGGAACCACGGCAACATATGGTTTTAACACAACAGAGACTTTCCGCGCTGGGATTCGGAGCCAGGAATACACGTCTGGACATACTGAGAGCTGGCAGAGGCTCTTTTACCTTGTGCTTGGCCCTGCCTTTGCTCTCAACTTGCTGTGCTTGGCCTACCTCGTTCGTTGGTCTGGGTTGATCAACGACATCACCGAGCCCCAGAATCATTTCTCCCTTGCCATGAGCAGCTCGCCATCCTCTCGGATGGAACGCAGCTATCCTGATGGGCCAAAAAAGCAGCACTGGGAAATGTCATGGCGTGTTTGCCAAGATTTGGCCGATGGCGGATGTCGATTTGGCGATTGCGATAAGGACCTCTAAGGGCTAGTTTAGGGTTATACTTTCGGATTCTCGTTTTACTTCATCAACAGGGAGCACGATTATTTTCATTTAGAAACTAACTAGTAGGGAGGAATTGCACATGTTGAGGATAGTTGGAAGTCTAAGGGATGTGTTCGTCCTGGCATTTGAGACAATAGGGACAAGCACAATGGGAAGTGCTTATAAAAGACTTGGATGTTATACCTGAACAAGATATCAACAGTTACTGGTCCAAACTCTATGAGTATTACGGAGAGATTACCTATTCATAGGTGCCCACCTGTGATCAGTGGCTGCTTTAGAGCATTGCGCGGTGCCTTGCTAAGCGCACGATAACTTCCTCCCTCAATCTTTCGTCACTCCACTGCTCGATGCCCAGGAGTTCATTATCCGTCCTCTCAAAGTGCCCGTTTCCCAAACCAAAGCCGGCCCTGAGAGCAAAATCGTGAATCGAGAGAGGATCCCTCTGCCCAGCGCGATATCGTTCCCAAGCAGCATCCTCTAAGTCCTTTGTATCGACCGCTTCGACATGAAACTCGGCTTCTGGAGCGGCCTGGCGTGCGAATTCTAGCATTTGGTTTTGTGTCATGACTACTGAGTGTATGTTGCAGACCTTGTTGACTGTCTGGTCTGGATTCATGAGTACTGCGGCAACGGCTTTTCCAATATCGTCATGCGTAGTCGCCGATATGGAAACATCTCCGCCATCATAAATTCGTGTCTTCACCATTCCGGAGAGACAGACGAAAGAGTCCTTGTCGAGTGCCATATCCAGAAACATGCCTGTGTTGATACCAGTGTAGGTTATCTCCCCTTTCGCAGCCTTTGCTAGAACATCGTTTATAACTGGTAACTTGGACGCCATGAGCGGCATGCGAGCAATTTTGGGATTGTCGAGGGGGCTGCCGAAATATGATGGGATAGCCCTGTATATACCTGCATCGACCGCAGCTCGCATCGTCACAAGAGACGCTTGATGGGCCCGCCGACTAAGAATAATGACGATTGCGTCAAAGCCAAGGCCCACGAGGCTCTTGCTTAAGGACTCGACTGAAGTGTAGTCTGCTTTGATTGCCTCAACGTCTGGGGGCAGCTTGGCCGTGGATGGGTCGCGTGTGAGGACGGCGACTTTGAAATGATTTTTGAGGAGATGTTTGATCGTTGGTGGGCCGAGGCTTCCAGTTCCCTAGAAATAATAGTTAGATCGAGTTTGTAATGCGGGATGAAGAGATACAGACACCTGCAACGACAACGTTGGTTATTCTGCGTGGAGGCTGAGCCATGCCGACGAACAGGGAGAAGTATAGTCTGTTTCAAAGATGAGACAAGCAACAACAAGCGATATACAGCAGGAGAAAAAAAGAAGAGGTGGAGTAAATTAAAACTCTCTATTTAACAATATTGTGCATCCATATTCGTGTTACATGCTCCATCTTCCTGTCATCCTTGCCTGTGCCTCGCAACATGAGGACCAATTCGGGTGTTGACGCGCGACAAGCAACCCAATCAGTACAATCAGCAGTTCACACACATTTCCAATGATCACGCGCCATTTGGTGAGATGACAGAATCATGTCTTACAGCATGGCAATGATTTAGACGAATTCTGCAGTCACTTGTTGGACTGACTATACCTTGGTCCACAATCCATGCAAGGCCGGCCAACTCTAGGGTTACTCAACGTCTGCGGGGTCGGGAGATCGACGGCCAACTTGGACTTGTCAACCAACAACCAATTCTCTGACTCGAGCGTGCAGGTTGGCTATACAAGCAATAACCTTGTTTGATCTCATTTTGGAACTTTGGTATTATCCAATACCTACAGCCCCTTTGCGAGGATGCTTCAACACCCCCACACCTCGACCTCGGTAATGAGGCACTTGACGAAGCTATCTAGGGGTTTCTCGACATCACTGCCACGACGAGGACCTTACGTTGAAACAATTAAAAACCTTAGGCTGAGTGAAAAGAGCCGGGTGATCTTTCAGGGTACGAATCCCTGCTTCTAGGCCCCCAACTAAGAATCTGACCTGTTGCATAGGGTTCACTGGCAGGGCGGTAATGCTCCTGATACAAGAGGCTGGATATGACACTGAAACTTCTCAAGGCAACAATAAACGCAAGAGATACTATAGAATACGGTACCAATGTTGTCGGGGGTGTCTCCCCGGGCAAGGGAGGCCAGACACATCTTGACCTTCCAGTCTTTAGTACTGTCCAAGAGGTAACGTCTCGAGAATTTGTCTCTCGACGGTCGATTCTAACTGGGTGCAACATAGGCCATGGCTGAGGTTAAGCCTCACGTCAGCGCCGTTTTTGTCCCTGCTCAGTTCGCCGCCAAGGCCATAATCGAATCCATAGAAGCCGAGGTACCCCTCGTTGTCTCGGTTGCGGAACATGTCCCCGTCCATGACATGCTCCGCGTTCATGAGATTCTGAGAACGCAGTCTAAAACTCGTCTGGTTGGACCAAATTGTCCAGGCATCATTGCACCGGAGCAGTGCCGGGTTGGCATTATGCCGTACAAGCAGTATACCAGAGGCTGTGTGGGTATTGTGTCCAAGTCGGGCACACTCAGTTATGAAGCAGTTGGGTCGACTTCACGAGCAGGGCTCGGCCAAAGCATAGTAGTTGGAATGGGAGGCGATATGCTGCCAGGTGAGAGATTATCATACTCCTGATATGAAGCCATGCTAACTCAGCCTAGGCACGACCTTGGCCGATGGTCTCAGATTATTCTTTGAACATGAGGAAACAAAAGGCATCATTGTAATTGGTGAGATTGGTGGCGAAGCTGAGCTTGAGGCTGCCGACCTCATCAAAGAGTACCGCAAGACGGCCAACCCAAAACCGGTTGTGGCCATGGTGGCTGGGCGAACGGCCCCGGAGGGCAAGACAATGGGACACGCTGGAGCAGTATTTTCGGCAGGAGATATCACGGCAGGGGCCAAGGCAAAGGCCCTTGAGGATGCTGGAGCTATTGTAGTTGCTCATCCAGGCGTCATGGGCGAGACGATGAGAGAGCTTCTCGGTATGTAGTCGTTGGAGTAAAGGAGCCCCACCAAAGAGACCGGAACTCCTTGTTGCCATGTATCACCAATTAATGCTCCTACTTCAATTTTTGGGCTCTGGGTTCCTCTTCTAGCGCGAACAATTCCTCATGATTGCTAAAACACTCTTCGAAAACCATACCGAGCAATCTGCACCGTCCCTGCTACAGGCCTCAAGACGGCTGTGGGAAAGCATATAGCCGACTAACCCCGCTTCGTCGGCTTCTTCCCCTCTCATGGATGCCGATCATCCAAGCTCTCCTCATCATCGACTAACAAGCGATAGAATATTGGACTCCAAGAGAAGCTGTTATACTCGCGTCCTCTGTTTTATACTATAAAGATTAGAATATATCGTTTACATCATGATTCTCAGTCGACGATCTGCCACCCTCCAGAAGCATGCAACCAAGGTGAGCTTCCTTTCAGAATAACGGGGAAGTCTTTCTAAAACGAGATATTACCTAGCTGTCACTGAGGATTCACAGAAGAAATCTGCATCTGCATGAATACCAATCACAAAGCCTGTTGAAAGAGGTGAGCCGTGTCCCCCAGTTCACAGTGTCGGGCTCGAAACATGACCTTGAGCTGCTAGGCAGGAATACCCGTACCGCGTGGTGTAATCGCACAATCAGTGGACGAGACGAAAGATGCTTTAAAGTTACTGGGTCAGTTATTGACTGAAGAGAAACCGCCAGAAGCTGACTGCTGGCACAAGGCGGGAACGTGGTCATTAAGCCACAGGTTCTCTTGGAAAAGAGTCAACACTACGCTGCCAAAGACGTGGAAGAGGGCGAAGGCATAGCGGCCAGAATTCTTGGTCACCGAACAGGATTACACCCACTTGACGACAGCATACCGACTGTAAGCCGTCTTTATGTCGAGGAAGCAGTCCAGTTCGAAAAGAGGTGGCACATCGCCATGACAGTTGACCGCGAGAACTACTGCCCCGTAATTAGACTTAAGGAGCTGAAATCCCCCCAAAGACCTTCAAGTCACAAAGAAAAAGATAGTCCGAAACAGTCTTTTATCTTGAGTCTGACCAACGGTATTTCTGACAATCTCATTGCCGACATACCCAAGACACTGGGGCTACCAGAAGCGAAGACCGAGGCACTAGGAAAAATGCTTAAAGGGATGTTTAGGATCTTTTCTGAGAAAGAGGCAATAAACCTTGAGACATATCTCCTAGACACCACAGATGGCCGGCTTGTTTGCTCAGACTCTAGGTTTTTCTTCGACGATGCAGCCCAAAAGCGACAACCCGAGTTGTTCGCCCTGAGGGACTCTGCTCAAGAGATTCGGGAAGAATTTGAAGCTGAGAAATACGGCTTGGTCTATGTTAGGATGGACGGAAACATCGGAAACGTGGTCAACGGGGCTGGCTTGGCCATGGCTACCAATGATGCCATCAGTCTATATGGTGGTGCCAGTGCCAACTTCTTAGACGCTGGAGGGCAAGCTACAAAGGAGACTATGCTGCAGGCCTTTGGGATTATTATGAGAGATGAGCGGGTCAAGGCAATCTTGGTGAACATTTACGGCGGTAAGTTGGCATTATTTGTACCATGCGGCACACTAACAGGAGGCAGGTATCACGAGATGCGATATGATCGCCGAGTCCATTATCGCAGCGGCGAGTGAGCTTGGCCCGCTGCGCGTGCCAATGGTGGTGCGACTGCAAGGAACCAACTCTGAAGCAGGCCTGAAACTCGTAAGTAATGTACTGATTCATCTGAACTGAACACTAAGAAACCTGCAGCTTTCTGAAACTGATCTTGGTATTCACGTCGAGGCAGACTTTGGCGAGGCGGCCAGAAAGGCGGTAGAACTCTCAAACCAGGACTCTTAGGCATCTATCAAGATTAGAGATCAAATTCCAACTACTTTCCTCTCACTCTCAACCAAGGTTCACTTCTTGTGTCTAAGAATCTTCAACAATACTTGAAGAGAAATGGCCCTCGCTGAAAGGCCTCGGGGCCTCTAGTAGCACTCGGCGCATCAAGTACTCTTCCGCACAAGTATTCAAACGTCTGCTGTCTTACCCAGACGCTAGAGTCCCTCTGTTTGCCCTTTAAGGCAACATGTGAATCTTGACAGGTTTGTGATTTGTAGCGGTGATTGGCTACCCTGGTCTGGACCGTCGCTGACTGCGCGACGCGTCATATCACTTCAGCTAACTCGCACTTGTGTATGTTCTACCAAGGGCATCTCCACAGCTTCATAGGAATGCTTCGAGAGATGGAGCTTGTGCGATTGCGAGGTCACGCGGTCGGGGTAACGATGTGATATCCATGTGACGAAGTGCCGTTTTCCTCTACAGTCCAAGCAAAGCATATGCCGGATCGGGCCGCCCCCATGGTTGATATCGGGGTAACTTACACGTTGCTTCGGCTGACCGGCTGGAGCTACGTATCCCAGGCCTTCTAAGTGGTCGTGATGCGACCGAAGTGGTGGCTGTATTAAGATATCTGCACAGCTGTTTGAAAACGGTAGTCTCGTGGGGTTGTTTCGCCACAAGGTTTGGACCCTACCTTGTCACATATCGAGGTCGTTGCATGTCTTCCTGTTCTTGCCTAGAGATGTCTCCCTTTGATCCCTCTCTGGATAGCGGCAGAAAAGTGGCTGGCTGTTGTGAGGACCGTTACTGGTTGTGGATCAAGCGAGGGCCGAGAAGCAACGCCACCACTATTCACCAGTAGTCACATTCCTTGGGTGTACCCTGTTGCTACTATACGTACCTACCTAGTACCAGTATTATCAATACCTGCACTTTAAACAAGACACGCCGCTCAGCCGCGGCTGATCATTTCTTAGATATCGAGAGAAACCCCCTAAACGGGCAGTTCCCCTCTTCTCTTAGTCGTTCGCAATTCCCCTCTAAGTCAAGCACTTCCTGTTACCTCCTTGCAGAAGCCTTCTTTACGAACTCACAATGCCTCTCCCTTCTGGTAGTACACTGCTTCACGTGGTGTATGCCGGCCGTGGCGATGCCTTCTACCTGGAGTATACCTATCGTGATGGAACTGGCCTCGAAGAACATGTGCTCGTTCCCTTGGATGGTGGCCCCCTGAAGGCCGCTGTCAGGGAAAATCGCGGTGTAAATCGCGGTGCAAATCACGGTGCAAATCCCAATGCACCCTATCACAAGTATTACTTGGCCGTGGGAGAGCACATCTGGAAGGAAAGCTTCGCTGGCCCTGACAACCCGAGATTCGGCCCCAAAGCAATCATCAACTCACATCCTCACGATGACCATCTAGATGGCTTGTTGTATTTGATGAACAATCAATGGGAGGACGCCATGTCATTCAACGGGCCCTTTATTCTTCCGAATCAAGCATGCAATGGGAAGATAGAGGTGGAGGCTATGGCAGAGAACCTCAACTTCACACCATCGTTTGGCTGCCAAGTTCCCGGTATCAACTTTTACTATCCATCACCTAATGTCGATGACCGCGAAATCTTGTCTTTCAACCATAATCCTCTCCTTGCCAACACCAACACTGGGGCTATGACAAAGCCAACACCGCAGCTTGGGGATCGCCCAGTGATTGAACTTCCCAACAAGATCTCCATCGACACATCTTCTGAGAATATCAAGAGCATTCTGATGGATATCGACCCAGACCAGACTAAAGGAAAGGGACGCATGTTCTTTACCGGAGACAGCGTTGGTCACAAGATCTGGGACTATGTCAACGGCAAGCACTTCTCCGTCTACAAGATCCAGCACCACGGTAGTCTTCGCAATACCCAGTTTGACGATACGATTGAAACTGTCAACATCCGCGTTGCCCAAGAAGCAGCCTTGTATGCCCTGTTGAGTTTCGCCCTTAAAGGAACCCCCGACGCTCTTTTTATCAACCCCCCAGGAGATGAAGATCGCAAGCTACTGAGAGAATTCATCAAGAACTGCTTGAATGATGAAGAGCAGTTTGTTCTCGCCGGATACTTGGATGAGCTCAAGAGCAGAAACCACGTGTATCTTGAACAATGCGTCATGAGGGAGAAGAGGCAGATGATGCAGCTCAGACCTATCCCTTGGAAGCCACAGGCCAAGAAGCTGCAGAAGACAAGGACACCATACGAGATTTGGACCCTTATTGTGTTGAATATCCATCTTGCGGAACCGAAATATGGTAAATACTTCGACAAGCCTTATGGACAGCTGTTCTACTCGCCACATTCAGATGAGGGGATTAGTACGAGACGATATAGACAGCAGCCTTGGGTGGCTTCGCTCCTCGATGTGAAGAAGTTCCAGAATAACTTCAAAGCCGTCCTACTTACTGGAAGCATCTTTGAGTTCTTCGAAACCTTTACCGCCGACGCTTACGTTGTGAGCGCCAACAAAAAGCACCGCCATCCCTCGGCGTCCACGATCGCCGGTCTGGCCATTGCAGTTCACCACAAGGCTCCAACTCGGCCTGTTCCTCTGTTTGCTACGAGTGGGTACTCGATCGATATGAACGAGGTGATTTCTCACGTCAAGGAAATGGGCTTCAGGCCGGCAGAAGTGTTCAATGACAGGTCACTCGTCATCCGTTGCCTCGACAAGGGCATTTACATGACCATAAACGGCAACGGCGGTGTCATGGCCCCTGCACCTGACGAGAGCCGTGACGTTCTCGGAGTGACGAGGGTGTTTCCGCTCGAGGGCGACGCAACCATCGACTTGAAGGCAATTTACAAAAAGTTCGAGAAGAGCAGTGGTTTGCTTCCAGATCGTCAGATTGGTAGGGGTCGCAGCTATCGCTACCAGATCACGGCGCCGGTGCAGGAGAACATCACTCAGGAGACGTACATGAGATTGAACCAACATACGGGGGAAGTTAGCTTGACGGAGGTACAGCCTGAGAACCCATTCATTGTCATGAATAGCTGGAGCTTGGAAGCTCCCACGTTTGAGTACTATCTGGTCTCCCAGACGTACGAACCTACAAACGCAGAAGCCAGACTTCGCATCGGTCACCGCAAGGTTGACGGTATCCCACTTTGGCAGATAGGCTTCTGGAATGGACTGAACTGGGTCAAGTATTACGTCCAAGACGGCGGCGTCTTTGGCCAGATCGGGTGGGATCAGGAAAATCCCATGGGTGGTAGCTCTGTATACTTCTACCTCCAAGATGTCACACCTCCGACCACTCTGTTGGGTCAGCAACCGTCCGCCATCACGTCTATGGTAGCTCAACCACCAGCCCCTCCTGTTGCTGCTGTAAGAACGGGCACTACCTTGGCCGAGTTCTGCATCGCTGCTGGCATTGACGCACAACCTCCCTTCAGCGCGCTGCGAGCATTGCAGGCCATTGTAGGCGCCCAGAACCTTTCCGCTTTAGGCGTTATCGACGGGTTTGAGAAGCTTGTTCTGCCGTATCCGACGGATCTGGCATCTTCTGTCGACTTCACTGACAATGGACTCGACATGGAAGTACACTCAGCATCGCTCGCTCTGAGCCCACCTTCTGGTGCTGTCATCGACGTAGCAGGCGAGATGCAGAAGATTTCATCTGTGGCAATCACTCTGCAGTGGCCTCTAATTGAGGACCTTTCTGTTGTGACTACTGTGAATACGGAAGATGGTATGGCAGTCATGAGAAAGAGGAAGCTGGCTGCAACCGCATTGCCCATCAGTTTGAAGAAGACTTTGGCTACTATGGGCGTCGATGCCACCACGATGGAGAGGATTGGTGCTCCCAACGCCGTCGCCTACCTGACGGCAGATCAGACTGGACTGGTGAAGCTCTTTTACGACCGAGTTCCGGTTTCTTTGCTCATAGCTGGACTGATGGACCTGAAACCGGATCTCGAGCTTTCGACTGTCGAGGCTTGGTACGACGCAACAGGCCTACCCGCTCTGAAACGAGCACGCGTGGTATGCTTGACTCCGGCCGATACTTGGAAATCTCTCTTTAACCTAGGCGGTATTGAGATTACCCTGGGAGAGATTGGGATCTTGCTGGAGGATGCCTTGCTACCGAGCCAGACCATCAGCTTGTACGGCAGTGCCGTGTTCAAGGCGTCGGCCCCCCAAACAAATGGAGTCAAGCTTGCACTTTCTTGCGAGCTTAACATGGACGGGGATATTCAAATCGACTTCTCCATCTCTGGGACCGAATCTCTTGATACACTGTCATCTCTTCTCAAGTCTGACTCGGGTCTCATAAACGCCCAAGTGCCGTTCCGCAACGGGCCCCTATCGACTCTGGCCAGTACGTCCAAGCTTGCCATCACCTTCACCCAGTCCACAGACCACATAGCCGACTACAGGCTCTCGAAAATATCTGCCAGTACACGCTTTTCCGATTGGAAGGACTTTCTGCCTGCCGAGTTCCCCATCAATAACCTCGTCTCTGTCACCGATGTGGGCATTGCACTTGAGATTCTGAACCCCCTGGACTCGGCTCAGCGTGCCGTGGGGGCATCTGTGGCACTCGAACTCAAGGTCGGCTCTGACAAGGCGACACAGAAAGTTATTCACCTCGGATTCGTAGCCAACCCGCTAGGCTCATTTGGTGACTACGAGTACCGTCTCGCCGCGTTTGCCTCAGACTCTGGGTTAAGCATCGCAGATATCGCAACTGCCATTGGCATTACGGGTGTTGAGGAAGCCCTCACAGCAGCTGGGTCTCTGGTGAGCCAGCTCTTGACAGAAGTTCGCGTTCGATCTTTTTCTGTGGCCGTGGAGAAGAGAAACGGTGCCTGGAAGTTTACTGATTGGAGTTTGGACGTGGGGATCGACAAATTTGTCATTATTCAGGACGTGTTTTCACTCTCGAATGTGTCTGTGTCTTTGGAGAACAGCACCGGCCTCCTGATGGGCGACTTGTCTGGCTCTATTCAGATTGCAGCGATCAACCTTGGGTGCAAGCTGACTCTTCCTACCAAGTCGCGGCCAGGTATGTCCCTTGACTTCATCAAGAAGCTCTCCTCTTCTAACATTTTGAAGGCCTGATATCCATCGAAAGCCCCAACAGCGTGTCGGCAACCGACATCATCTCTGCATTGAAGCTCCCCGACGTTTCCTCCATTCCCGTCCTGGGAACTTTACTCTCAACTCAACTTGAGACGGCACACTTTACAATTGGCTATCTACCCGACCAAGGCGGGGGATCATACCTGTCTTGGCTCGGATCAAGTTTCACATTTGAGCTGGATGAGGTTTCCGTGACGGATACACTGGTCATTGATGGAATCAGTGTGGCCATTGGATATCACTCAGAGCATGACCCATTTGGTCCAGGGAAAACACAATTTGTGTTCCTACTCAAGGCCGCATTCCTCGACAGTGCCCTTGCCGCTGAAATCATCTACGATTCCCTGGCCTCGGAAATCGAGTTTGCACTCACGTCTCCGGACCCAACCAAGACGGCAAAGATCTCTGACATGGTTGGAAAGCTTCTTGGGTCATCTTTCCAATACGCCTTGGAACCACTTGTTCAGGACATGGCTATCAAGGAGGCCAGCCTGAAGTTATTGACTGGCAGTGGCATACAAGTCCAGCACTTCAAGATCGACATCTCAGACGCAGCATCTGCAGAGTTCCAGGGACTGGCCATGAAGTCCCTATCAGTGGAGTACACCGCTGCTCAGGCTGCGAAGGGAGACAAGCCCGCCGTACCCGAGAAGTTTGTGCTGCAGGGATCTATCCAAAAGGGCAAGGTTGGTGCTCAGTTGACCATCGAGTGCTTGTCTTCAGATGGAGAGAAACCGACTCAGGTGTCATTCGTCCTTGACGCTCCGCCTGGGACGAACTTGTACCTTTCTGGGCTGGTAGACCTGTTCACACTTTCAGATCCTTCGTACGACAAGCCGGACCAGTGCCCTGACTTTACCGGACTCGTCATCAAGACTATTCAAGGGAAGGTGTCCCTACAAGCAGACGTCCAAACAGGAAAAAGGGTGCTATCACTCGACTCTCTAGATGCGGACATCGAATCCCTGGGCAGTATCGAAATCGTGAAGGACCCAGCTGTCACACTTAAAAGCATCAGCCTTCGTCTACACTACGAGAACAAGACCTTCTCCGGCCAGGTGTATGGCCATCTTGCGATTGAGACTGTTGAAATCTGGGCCTTCTTCAAGAAAGATGATCAAGGAAACTCGGTATTTGAGGGACGCCTATCACTCAATGACCAGCAGGCGCCAGTAGCATTTGACAAACTTGCGGCAACCTTCCTACCCGATGCTACAGACTACACCATACCAAGTCTTCTCAACGCACCAAAAGAGATTCCACTCTTTGTGTTTGGTGTGAAGTTGATACCGGACAAATCCATAGAGGTATGGGGAACCGGGCAGCTTCCACTCGCCCTCGACGCTTCGGGATACACTGTGTCTATGGCAAAGATTGGCGGAATGGTGCGAAGAATCAAAGGATCTGACGTTCTCGGTCTTCCTGACCAATACACCGCATTCCTAATCGGAGAACTGCAGTTCAACACCTTCACATCCGCCCGAGCATCAGTCACCATTGGCACAGGGCGAGCGACCATGTTGACCGCCTCCATCACCTCCCAGTCCTCAGCCATCGACCTGGACGGCTTGACGGCACCACTGAGCGGTGACGGATCAACTCTCAAGACAATCAGTCCCGCAGGCACATCTAGCATGAGCTTTGGAAGCTCTGGATACCTCTGTGTTGACTTTACAAACTCGAAGCTCTTCCTGTTCGGTCAACTTGCTCCCCCCATCAGCGCCTACGGGATGATCATGGGTCAGTGGAAGCCTTCAGGGAAGGCATCTGATCGCCGCTACTTTGCATCAGTGACGACTCAGAACCTAGGCCAGATCTGGAGCGACTTGAACGTGTCGGTGCTCTCTGCTTTTGAGTTTTCTCTGGCTGGAGGCCATATGATGTCGTGGACGGGCACCGTCGAAGAGCTCCACACTGAGCTGTCTGCCTCTATGACTGCAGCGCAGGCCGCAAACGTGGATGTCACCGATGTCTCATCTACCTTGCTCGCACTCCCACAGACAGACCCAGTCCCGAGAGGCGGAGCTTTGTTCGCTACACTCGACCTCAAGCGAGGCGGTGTCGTCAACGAGGCCATTGCCACCGGCCTCGAGCCCACGATGCCAGACCCCACGCTCACGTTTTACGCGACGTTGAACAAAGACGATCCCAAGCAGTCCAAGTTCATGGTGTCGATGCATAACATGTATCTCTTTGGAGGTGCCCTGTTGTTCAACGGAACTTCCGAATACCATCCCGACGGCCAAAGGCTGATGGCACTCGGGTCCATGCAACTGACTTTGTCCACGGCGAGCTCCGTGACGCTGCAAATGGAACTCGACGTTTCTGAGAGTCTGACATCGTTCAAGCTCCATGGCAAGCCTTCCACTGATGACACGCTGGTGAACCCATTTGTCGACATGTTCAATGTGCAACTCAAGGAGCTCGTTTTGACGGGCAGCATACACAAATCAGAGAAGGGGACTATTTCAGACTACTCCCTTTCTGGGGGCGTGTACCTGGGGGTCGGAATCTTGCGCGCAGACCTCACTGGTAGCATCTACTTCAGCCAGGGCAAAGCCGTGACAGCGAACCTTGCGTTGGTTACTGCGCAGCAGGGGATATCCGTGGAGGATGTATTCTCTAGCATCATCCAACCAGGCGATGTCAGCAGCGGCTCCTGGCCATCGGGCTACGGAACTATTTCTTTCCAGTCGGTATCCATCTACTATTCCATCCAGGAATACCACCTGGGGAAGCAGGTATTCAGGAAGGGATATCACATTGCAGCAGACATTGAGATCTTTGGAACCGCCTTCGCCATCACCGCTGATCTTGGAAATCGCAAGGGGATTGTGATAACTGGCCAGAAAACCGACCCCATCGACTTGGGATTCCTCCGACTTTCAGGCCGGGCACCAACACCGCCAACACCACCGCCCACACCTCCAGCCCCGGCCCCGGGGCCAAGTGTAACGATTGACACCACTGGCAGCTCTGTAAGCCCACCA